TAAAGTGAACCCGGAACTGATCAGTCTTTACGCTTTTTGCTTGGACCATTTCATGACCAATGGACATATTTCAAGAAGGACTCTTGGATAATCACTCGAACGATAAATGACAAAAAGTTAGGGACAAACAGCTCAACATTTAAACATACAAAATACAGCCATTCCTGTCGAGCACGCAGTCGACTTAGCAGTTCGTTCGCCTCTTCCGGATAACCATGACGTAGCAGAACGCGACTATCCGTGGTCACCAGGATAGAATACGGTCAACAGACGCATCCTTGAGCACTGTCGCTGTTTGCCCGTGACCACTTATTTCGTGGGCTCAGGTTCACCTTATTCGCAGTTAACCAGCATATCCGCCAGCGAGTTTCTGACCGTGATACTCGGACGCGCCCGACAGCATACAGCTTGGTTTTCTAGGTGTACTGAAGCACGGTTTCTTCTGTCTCAAAAATCACCCGATCGAAAATACTCAACCCGTTGTATATCGAGGTAAAATTGTATGTTTGGATGCCACAAGTTTATATTCCTTTTTATAATGATCTCTCTAATAAACTTGCATTTCGATGATAATACTTTACGGTCAACCTCGACACTAGTCTGTGTGGTGTACACAACGATGTTCTGACAATGATCATCCAGGTTTCTATTTCGGTCGGTACTACACTGGTCAAATTGTTGCAACACGCATTCGACTCTTCACAGACGAATGAGTCTCACAGTAATGTCCAAAAGGTGAATCAGGTCAAAACAATCTTTCGTGTATGCTGGAGCTAGTACTTCATCTGGGATTCGTTTGCAGCAAGATGATTTATTGGTACTTATGTGGGTTAATCATTATAAAACCTAAACAGTTAGAAATAAGGATCAATTTCTGATTGTTCTCCAACGATTTGCAGCATCGAATAAAGCCCCCCTCCCCCCCCCCCNTAAATAAATGTCCAATTTTTGCAGGGACTTGAGGGTGCACTACACTGCACTGCACTGGAGAATGCATCGTGAAAGATGAATCCCGAGAAACTCAGACTAGACGTGTGAGATGCTCGGGCAGGAGAAGAAAAAAGCCTACCGTGATGGGATGCAAATAGGTGATTTCCATTTCTTTTTGCAATTCACCGGCCTTTCCTTTGTGAAATTCTGAGAAATTTTGTAGAAGAAATGAAGCGAATCGTTTCTGGGCCACTGGATCCTCAGTGGGGAATAACAAACTCCAATTTCCACAATTATGATACTCAAAAAACTCCAATGCCAAACGTTGACGGATTAACAACAATTGTTGTCGCTGGGTGAATGAAGAAGGGAGAGAGAGAAAGAGAAGAGGGGTGGAAATGAGGAAATGAACAAAAACAGCAATACTCAAAAAATAAAACGATGGGTCACAAGTTGAGTGAACAGATTTCGGGTAAATCAATGCATCCACTGTTCTCGAAGCACTCGCGTGATGCACCCAAAGAAAGAAATCTGAAAACGTTTTGACCAGTACGTATTGTTGACTCTCAGCTGAGGGTCAATCTGGTTAGTTCAAGTTGTTATATTGGTACCGGATGAGCAACCTATGTACTAGGGTTTCGTGGCAACGGATGGCGAAGACTATCCAAAGCATGGATCAAAAGTGGAACAAGAGCAGAGTGCGCAACACAGAGAGGTACAGAGACTCAGCGTGGGTAATCCATATTTAGTAGAGAATTCTGTTCCAATTGGGCTCGTGAATTTATCGCAGGGCTTTTATAATCCTCGTTTAATGAACCGAGATTTTGTCATTCTCGTCCAGAAGAGCGCAAATTTCTATGAGAACTAATTGAGAAGTGAAGTTCGCTTCACTGTATTTCGCTGTCAGAGGATGATGATGATGATGACGATGAATTCGAAATCCATAAAATCGGTTATCCACAAATCATTCGGAACAAAGAACACCACTTGGAGAACAAACGAAACAAAATGGGGGTATTGCGACAAGCTGTTTGAAAGTACGATACTGTCACTCGAATTGCTGGCATTGCCGGACTATAACAAGCAGGAGCCGTGACAGATAATATGAAGAAAGTTTAAATACAAGAAACATGTTTTGGTTAAATACCTGAGAGGACTTCGAGACTGATGAAGTGTTTCAGTAACTCATAATTTCACATGGTAAAATTAACAGATAGGGATTATATTTTCTCAATTCAATACAATATCGATACAACATCCTAAATCGGTACCGAGGATTTATACCATCTTCCAACTAAAATCACATATGGTAAAACTTACTAATCCAACAATTTGTTGCTCCACTGCATATTTGGATAAACTGGGCACTTCGATCTCTGATCGTTTGGGAGTCATGATCGGTGGTCTGCTATTAGTCGTGACGGATTTTCGAAACGAAATGAACTTTTGTTTCGGTCTGGATCGTTCTTCGTTCGGTCGAAGTATCTGAATGGAGGACACTGACGAGTTCGAATACAAACGACGATAAGCAGTCAATCGTTGTTCCTTTTCGGCAGCCTCCTTATCCGATGGACTGGTTTGAAGCGATACATGAGTGAATCACAAAGAATAGATAGAAAAAATAAATATAAAATCGAAAAAGGACATTGCATAGGCAGTCGTACTTACTGAATGATGACGGACCGTAGTAGCATTGCACTAAGCGGGATTCTTTGTGGTAGACGAAGTGTGAATTAAGCCGTAAATCAATGCAAAAAGTGAATTTGTGCTCCCGGATCAACCAGGTGATATAAGATGGTGGTGGCGTAGTGGTTGTCATCGGCGTGTTTTGGACTCTATGGTCGAGGTTTTTTTAAGTCAAGTAAAGTAAAGTAAAGTAAAGCTTTATGCACCCAAAGCTCGAGCCCCACCACCGCCACCAAACTTTGATGGTAGGCAGCTTTGCTGCCGTCCTGTTCAACGTCACACCTAACCTATAGGGGTCTTATGTGGTTCTCCAAGTCCCGGGGCTTGGTTTACCGGTTTCCATCAGTGAACATCAGGTCCTCGTGAATATGAGGCTTTCCTTTTCTGCTACGCATCACAATAATGTGCGCAATAGAAATACAGTCCCAAGTTGAAGTAAGATCGCGTCAGAAGGTGGTTTATACCCAACGCAACATAAAGAAACCGTCGGATAGCTAAGCACGAACGACGAGAGACGAATAGAAAGCCCAATGAAGGAACCACGCAACTGAATGAATTTGTAAGCAATTTAGTTCCGCCTAATGAAACCAATAAACCTGCACTTCCATGTGGTCGCTTTGATTGTTGTCTTTAGGCTACTAATTCGGTCCAAGAATGAAGGAGTAAACGAAAGAAGAAATACGAGAACAGTAACAAAGCAAAAATACGTAATGCAGTTCAACCAAACTTGTGAATCAATTGAGTCCACACACCAGCGCTATTGTTCACGACACAGTCCTATCACTCGCTGTCACTGACCATCCATTGGACAGATCCCGATGACCAACCGGAAGGCCGAAGGTGACTTATAGCCAAAACATTCAGCTGAGTTTTAGTTTGTTCAGTCAATAAATCTACATCCTCGTGGTCTTTTATTGTTGGTGTCCCTCTGGAACACAATGGATACAAAGCAAAAGAGGTGAACCAACACCGAGAAAACGATGATCATATAAAAATGCATAATGCACCTGAGCTACTGATTCGTATACACGTTGGCACCATCCTTTTTCGCAAGCCGGTGATGTATGCATAAGCGATTAAGTCTTTCCGGGCACAATTGCCACACTTGCTACAATTATCGAAATCCATGACGGTCGTTTATGTGGGTGAGACTGTCACTACCGTGACGAAAATCGGCATTTGTTGTCAGTATTTCCGCCAGATTCCTGCAATGCTATGTAAACAGCAGTGCCCGAACAGTGATATTTGACTATAATCTTTTAAACGTTTCCAAAGCAACCAGCAGTCAATGAGAAAATACACCATCCAAATGGTTCTTACGGGATTTAGTGGGAGGGGGGCAAGGGATGATTCACGGGAGCAACCGCTTGATGCCGTAACTGGAGTTTCATCATCCGCTTATAACAGCAGTCACGATGCGTGAATAAAAGCTGCAAAGCATCATTAAACATGAGCTTCAGCATCCAAAATCCTGATCGCACAACGAAATACAATGAAGTGATCGTTGCCAAGCTCACAAAATAAAGTGAGCACAAATATGTGAAGTATGTGAAGTTTGGCAATAAGGTTCTGGACCACCCGCTTCATTCACTGCATCCCGATTTCTCATCTTGTCGTTCTCATCCATCCACACACTTCGCTCTTCAGGCATTTGCCCTTTCTTGTTAACATTTATAGGAACTCCCCTGTACCCTAACCAAAAAATAAAAGCTCGTAAGTGAATTGGGTCAGAATATTTGTACATGAAACAGACTTCGGCAATAGTCTTTACTTTGCATGGGCGGTGATGGCCCAGTGATAATGTCAACAGATTATCACCCCGGAAGACGTGTATTCGAGTCCCACCACTACCGCATAACTTTCCCCATTCCCTTTATTGTATGGCAGCCCTTTGACTGGCCACTTCCCCCTTCCTGAAAATTGTATCATTGTGTATTCAATAGAAGGAAGTAAAAATTGAAAAGAAAACGAAAAGAATATGAAAACGCACATTTTATTCCAGTGTACTTTTTTGACTGAAAAGTAAGCATATGACATAAGCATAACACAAGCTATACACATACAAAAAGCAGTGGGTCTGTTTTGAAAGAGATAGAGATCGTCAACACACACAGAGCGCACCGTTGAACTGTGCATGCACACTTTTCAAGCATTCTGACCTGATACGAAATGATAACAAGAATTCAACTGTTATCGGTTTGCCCCGAGGCCCTTCGGTATCTCCGGCCTGTATTTTGGAACCCCAGCTGAAAACTGGAAAGTACGAATTTTACCTAATATCTCCGTTAAATTCCTAATGTCTTATTTTCATATTATTCCCACTGTGAGGCTGCACTAAGAACCAGCAAAGTCTACTCATTGAAATTCGATTGGAAAATGAAATTTCCACCGAGGCACATCGTAAAACACAACTAACTAGGTTGAACTGAGAAAAATGATTTTGCGAAAATCTTTCGCTAACCTGTCTTCCACTCTCGAATTGAAGGTCTCATAACCGTGAGGCGGTATAGACAGCACTGTAACACAGTATACAGGACCATTCGACATATCTTTCTTTGAATAGAGCTATCGGGGTGCCTAGTCAGATGAACAACCAAAAACGGAAGACAGTCATTCTCCTTTTATTCAGTTGTGAACTTAATTGACCAATGTGCTGCGTTGAATTCTGACTCGATACGAGCAAGATAAGTGTTCTTGTTAGCCACTCAAAAGATATCATCTACATAACGGTGATATTGGTCGTGGCAACCAATAGCAGTAGATTCATCTCTAACTTGGCCATGAAGATTCCGGCGAGATCAGATCTGAGGGCTGAACCCATGGCAACACTATCCATTTGGCGGTAGAATGTGTTACTAAACAAAACTTGTACATTTCTTGTGCATTTGAATATGAGTTCTTTGAGAGTTGTGATTGGATTACCCACGGATATCGTTTCTGTGTTGATAAACTCACAAATGAAACCAATCGTTTCTAACAGAGAAACTTTTGTGAAGAAAGAAACTAAATCCAAAGTGAATATCAGTAGGTTGTTTATGTTCACATTTTTGGTTATTTCAACTGAAAAGTATCTCTAAGTGTACCAAGTTCTTCGGAAGATCTAACACGTTTTAAATCGCCCATTCAATAAATACAGAAGGTTCTGATAGGCACTTTGCAACTTGAGATACCTGTGGCGCCGACGCGTCATCCGACTGATTGTAAAGTGTCGAGTGTATGCTGTAGCAGTTAGGCCAATTCTGCCATACGGCGCAGAGACTTGACTAGTGCATTTTCTCAATATCCTTCCCACCTTAGACTACTGGGTTTCTCCATTTTCTCTTCGACACCGTTTGCAACTTTCTAATCGTTCCACCGCTTCATCCAAATGGGCAGCCAAAAGACAGCAACTACAACCGGTGCATGAAATTACATGGTTATACAAACTGAAACTGTAAGATGTGATATTTAACTGACATATACTGTCACCCCTAAAGCTTTTTGAATCATAGCATTGGAGAAACTCATCATAAATTACGTTTTGTTGATTGGTAAAAGAGGTGAAAAGTTCATTGACGGGATTGTGAATTATCTCACTCAGAAACATTTGTGATGCGAGAGTGGGCATTCTGTTGTACTGCTCAAAAATGCATAAATTTATGTACAAAAGCACTACGCGCAAGTCGTGTGAACGCACCTTCGGTTCACAGATGAACCATCTATGTTTTTCGTGAGGAAACATTTGGCTCGACTACCTGTAACGCATCTCACGAGGTTAGTATACGACGTCTGGTTTTTCTACTCGTCTATACACGAGGAATGTATAACACATGCCCGACTGATCACACCTATCGAGAACCGTTGTGATCTGATTATCGGACGTTTTTCTACATCCAAATGGAACGGCACCTAGATGGACGAAATTATTCCATGACCAGACTCAAACAAGGTGTTAAAACTGATATGATCAAAAACGCTACACAATCACAGGGCTATTTTCTTATGCAAATTAATTTCAGTTGTTGATGAATGTATGC